ACACCAAATTTTATGTTCTTTTTTCCATTATTTGCACAACCATAGTATTTATTTTTAATCCACAAAAAACATGAGGATTCTTGTATTGCATGTATCCATTTAGATATATCCAGCATTTTGTAGTCAAGTAATATAAAATTATTTTTACCATAATTTCTTAATCTTATTTTCATTTACCTAAATAGTGAAAAACAGCTGTTCAGCAGAGTTTCTTTTAGATCTGAAATAACCTAATTGAAAAATGTGCTAAAAACAATGAGTGATGGTAACAAGCACTAGTTCAAAGCAGGGTAGGGGAAAAAGCTGAGATATTGATGGAAGACCTGCTGGATAACACTCAGATTGCTTATTCATCCTGGTAACTACTTTTTCCTTTTTGTTTATCCATTTCACTTAATGATTTTCTGTGTATTGTTACAGACATCTCAACAGTGAGCATGCGCTGGATGATAGAAGTACAGCCCAATGTAGAGTACAAATGCAGGTTGTACAGCAGTTAGAGCTACAGGTAAAATAAAATTTATTTTAATATTACCTCAGTACTGATCAAATCCAATTCTCTACAGCAATAAAATGAGTTCTGCTTTACCCCACTATGATTGAAAACAAGCTTTCCAAACCTCCTTGTAGTAGTTTTAAAAACCGTCAAAGAAACTGCTGCTTCATTTCCTCTTTTCTAAACCGTAATTTGAAAAGAAATAGGAAGCTTAACCAGGCTGACTGGCTGGGAATCCATCAGTATGTGTCTAATGCATTTTTTTCTCAAATTGGGGGGAGAGCGGGGAACAGGGAGAATAGGGGGGAATGAAATACCTTCCCCATGGTTTAGAGTTGTTGGCATGGAGGAAATGATCAATGTTTGTTTCAAAGCATTGCCTGAACTGGCTTATTTTATTGGTGGTTTCTCATACACTAATACTCTGTTTAATTCTTTTTTCTTTGCCATTTGTGGCAAATGATTTTAAGTGAAAAAGGGGAGGAAGGGTAAAAATTTGAGCTTATTAAAATGTGCAATTGCAGAGGTATGACCCATTTATGTAACTGCCTTTCAAAATGCTTTTGAGTTCTTTATATCTCCCTGTGTCTCTCTGCTCTAGCTGGGCGACTTTGTGTGTCTGTGTGTAGTCAAGAGGTTAGCAAAGGAGGGGAAATTAAAACAATGTTGTACATTATATAGTTACCAGCCATTGAAAAACCTATTTTGTATGCAAGACAGCAATGCAGAGATATATGGAATGCCCTGGGCTAAGTACAGAAGATAATTACATTTGGAATTTTACTGAGTTAAGTCATTTATAGCTTCAAATAGTTGGAGAGAAAAATCAGCAAAAACACACTTCAACTTTTTTGTTGTTACTTTTCAAGATAACCATTTTTTTAACCAAAAAAACCCCTTTTATCTTCTTATCTTACAAATTAGCTTTTTTCTTTCATGGATATTTCCTAAAATTTTACTTTCAGTAACACTGCAGTCAAGACAGTCTTTATATTAGCTGAAGCTATATAAACTATTTTAATACAAGTATTATGAAAATCAAACTACTAATAATAAAATAGCAGAGTCTTGCAGAAATTGCTGTGAGAAATGGTTTATTTTAACAAGTTTTTTGGGTATTTAAAAAAATTCTAGTCTTATTGGTGAACTGATATATAATATAATCTTTCACTAAGGTGCAATAACAGTCATGCTGTAGGTAAGCCTTGTTTGGGTTCTAGTCTGAAAAGCATTATAGGTTCTGTAATATTAATTTAGATTTACTGGATTATGTTAACACCTGTACCCCATTTATTCCATCTAAATTAATACAACAGCTCAATCCTATGGTCAAGGGGAGTTTGTATTGTCTAGGGACAGTAGGATGAAGCCCCACATGAAGAGTTGAACAAGGGATAGGAGGTATATGTTGGCTAGTGCTTTATAAGCATGTTACAAAATTGTGGTAGATTGATTGGTGTTATATAACTTTAATCAGAATCTGGGCTTGAGTCATGCTGAAATGTTAGACCACTTCTCTGGTACTTTTGGGGGAAGCCGAAACGGTGTACTTCCAACCCTGTTACTTGCTGGAAGTGCATCCCAGCACTAGTGTTGTTATAGGAGCGCTGATCCTAATGAGCAAATGATGATCGTTAGTGTTAGAAAAGACCTTTTAGCTCAAAGTCCATTCTCTGAAAGCTATAGTCCCTGGTAGGATATGTATCCCTTAATTTAATAATATGACCTTAGCTGAAAGTTCAGTGTTGTGTTACAGACCCATAAGTAATAGATAGGATACATTAGGGCAGGCGTGGGGAATCTTTTTTGGGTTGGGGGCCACTGACCCACAGAAAAATCAGCCGGGGGCCACACCCAAGTGAGAAGCAAAAAAACACAAAACAAACTCTCACTGATGTAGCCCCCCAATTGAGGAGAAAGACACTCCCCACTTTTTCCTCACACAGCAGAGCCTCGGGGTGCCAAGACTATTAGATTTTGAGTGCTCCAGTCCCATGGGGGGTTAGAGCACCATCATGGGCTTCCCAATATTGGGAATTCCCATGTCTTGAGGGCCAGATCCAGACAAGCTGGGGACCACATCCAGCAAGTCTTATGGATCAGGTCTTTGGGCTTGCATCTCAAAAATAGAGTGAAACAAAGACCAAAAGAAACAATGGTTAGTTTTTAGGGTAGCAAAGGCAATAATCATAGGCATAGACTGAATCTATTCCTCAAATACTGAGTTGTATTCGCATCAGTGATTGCATTAGTTTTGCAAAACATATTGGGTCAAAGCCATAAAGAGTAGGAGTATTAGTGGTTTAGGACTTAAAAGAAAATTCAGTCAGGAGGAGGGTGCAGTCATACGAGCTGCTACAGCTACTCTTCGCTTCCAAATGATTCCCTTACCCAGAAGTGAGGATTCCTCTAGCAGGTAGGTTTGTTCTGTTCTGTAAAAAACCTTAGCGGAACGGAGGGTTGGCCCAAGAGTACCATTTGCATTGTAATTGCCTAGCTCTCTAGAATGTGGGCAAACAGACTAAGATCATGATTTACATGGCTGTCAAACAACTGCAAAGCAGTACTGTTAGTCAGTACAGCCATGTAGTGGATTTGAGTTCTGTGACTTAGACAGGTAAGGCATGGTGTCCCACCACTAAGCCAGTTTACCCTTAGTACTCAAAGTGCTACTCTGCAACTTTGCCAACAAATGGGCTTATAATGTGACTCACAATGCTGAGGGTTAGCAGGCGTGACAATGAGCTAAATTCTGCCTTGTCTTTTACTCCATTCTACTTTTCTGGAGAGAGGGTAGGTTTTGACCTGGTGAGTTATTGTGGCTGTATCCAGGGGAGATGATGTTGTATAATCATATTGCAATTTCCTCATGCCTTTAATGGAAACTTAGCCACATGATGCCACTTTAATTTGTGACTCTGAGATGCCATGTGATGCAGAAGATCCTCAGAGTCCCTGTTGCATATAGGATTGCCAACCCTCCAGAATTGCTCTCCAGGAATTAAAAATTGATCTTTCAGTAAAGATTATGTCATCTGATGAAACCTCCAGGAATATGGCCAACCACAGTTGGCAGCACAGGTGGTGGATATATCTGTGTGATGTTCCCTTCTCTTCTTCACACTCCATGTGTGGCTCCTTGTAGGGAGAGGAAGCATCATTGTAAGGTATTGCATCACCATGATACTGCTTCTCGTTTCTGTGGGAAATGGGAGCCAATGGTTCCCAAATGAACCGACCATAGTCTCAGCCCTTTTGATACTTACTTCACACGCCTGTGATTAACAGTCTTCTTGCTGTGCCTGAAACAGTCTGATCCATTTCTGCAAACTCTCAAAGAGCCAGATGCATGCTGTAGATTAAGTACCACCTTACCATCTGATGTCATCCAGTTCCCCTTCACTGAAACGTCTTGAGAATATGAACTGTGATTTTATATTTCTCTGACTGCGTCCATTGCATTTCTTGACTATCTCATCAGGCATAGCTCTTTTATATGGTTTTTCCTAGAATGAATGTTGTAACTTCACTTTAAGACTAAGTATTGTACTTGGCTTGAGTGTAATGGAGCCAAATTTGATTTTCTTTCTCCATTTTTGTCTTGTTATTGTTAATCTGATGTGTAATATTCTGTCAATGTATGCATAACAGATGTATCCAGTGCTGGAGCTAAAGAAAGTACAATTTCTTGCTTTTTTTATGAATGTTCATGAAAACATCAGGTCACATTTGCATTTGACATGATCACCATTCATTAGGGGAACTGCAGAGAGAGAAATGAGTCATTGGGAATGAAGGAAGAGTAAGAGATTAAGGTATAAATGCAAGCAAGGTACATGCCATGCTGTGTAGCTAGGCCTTAGTTGGAGTAGTACCTTCATTTTGGGGCACCAGATTGGATTAGAAGAGTTGGAGGGCGAGCAAGAAAAATGATAAGTTTGAAAAATAGCATGTGCGGGGGAAACCTGACATGAAGATAGCTGGCCATTGTCAGTGCAGAGAAAAGGCTACTTTGGCCTATTTTGAACAATGTAAAGGGATGTTATAAAGAACATAGGAAACAATAATCCTTGCTAGTGGCGAGGCCATAACAGGCTCATAACTGGTGACTGGCCTCCCTTCCCCTCATTTTCAGTCTGCCAAAATCCTGACGCTAAAGTTGTCTTTATTTCCTGATGGTCTAGATCAGGAGTGGGCAAAAGCCACTCCATGGGCCAGATCCGGCCTGCGCAGCTGTTCCAGGCCCTGCCCCCTAGTGCATTGCCTGGGAGCCGGAGCCACGCGAGCCCTTTCAACGGCTTCTATGTAAAGGGCTCGCGCATTCCCTGTGGCTGTCAGGCATCAGTCCCAGGGAAGGTGCGAGTCCTTTAAATAGAAACAGTTGAAAGGGCTTACGTGCCCCCGGCTCCCGGGCAACACACTAGCAGCAAGGTCAGAAGCAGTGAGCCCTTTAAATAGCAAGAAATGAAAGGGCTTTCAGCTCCTGTCCCCTGCTAACGTGATGCCTGGGAGCCACAGTGGAGGCGTGAGCCCATTAAAGGCTGCTATTTAAAGGCTCTGCCCCTTCCGCCCAAGGCCCCGCCCTTTCTGGGGTGGCCTGCGAATACTTCACAAATTTTTGAAGTGGCCCCCATTCAAAAATTATTGCCCACCCCTAATCTAGGTGCGGTGTCCCTTCTGAGCCCCCCATACTGTCTAAAATCCTTGTCCTTGTTTTCAAGGCCCTTTGTTCTCCCCTGTAGTACCCCACCTGGTGCACTTAGTCTTTCTCTTCATCTCCATTTCCCGTGCTCATGGCACTTGCTCCTGGGCTGGCCTCTATCTTCTGGTATGCTGTCCCTATCCTTATCAGCAACATGTCCTCTTTCTGCCCTCCCTTTCCTGAAGAGTCCAGTGTTCTATTTTCGTGTGTGTTTGTCTTAGTTTTTAACCACTTCACAGCAGGGTGGCATGTGGGGTTTTTTATCTGAGTTGATAAGGTGCTGTATAAACTTAAGAGAACCTACATATGTTTGTAAGAATAGTTGACAGAAGAAAGGTTAAGCAGTGCTTAGGTGCCACAGTGAGAAGCACCTTTAAAAATCTAAGAGAAATACTAGCTAATACTTCAGAACTTGAAGACAATTCAGTGGCCAGGGAAACCCCATGAAGCCCTTATAGGTATTCACATCTAGACTGGACATTTACCTACTAGAGATGGTTCAGAACTATTGGGCACAATATTGCCACAGTGCAGAGAAGTGCCAAATGGCCCACGAATGAGCCCTTAAAGTCTAAATGATTTTATAGCATAGCAAAAAGAAACAAGGAGAAGAACAATAGGTAGAGCCTGTGTCTGCATCTGTAGCTGCAAAAATGAGCCGCAGATATCTGCATTTGACATCTACAGCTGTGGATGCTTGCGGATATCTGCAAATGTGCAGGGTTCTAGATATAGAATTTGTATCTGCATCCATATCCACAAAAAAAACCCTGTGGATATCTGCATCCATACACACGGGACTTAAAGCGGGTATCCGTGGATTTACGGAACTCTAAACATAGAGAAAAAGGAGTGTTGGGGCAGAGAAGACAGTCTTTTGGGAGCTGACCTTTATTCCTTGGTTATGAGAGTGAATTCTTTCTCCCCACCTTCCTCTATCCTAATAATCTGGTTTAGTGCTAAAGTCAGGGAGCAGATTTTAGCTCATACGCATTTAGAATATGCACCTTTAGTCAAGTGCTACTGAGAGACTAACGTACAGCAGGGCCTTTTGGATGACCTTTGAACAGTTTTACAGAGGGAATGTATTTATCTCCTGTCATAGGGAGAGCAACAGGGAAACAGTATTTATAAGTATCTTTGAATAGCCAGAATAGGGCCCATTTAAGAGTAATGCTAATCAGTTTATTTTCTATGCATAACAATTTTTTCCTGAAGAATGCTGTTAGTAATCAAGTGCATTTTCCTGCAGAACCACTAATAGTCCCCATTTCCAGACCTTAAGAGCCCTCGTTAATGCCTCAATGATGAGAGCTTCCTCACATCAGTGGCCTAGCAAGCCCTCATGACTTCTTTTGAATGATCTAACTGAGTGGCAGGGTGGTACTAATGGAGTTACGGGCTTATATCTTCCTGCCCTAACGGAAAGCAGTTTAAAGAAATTCTTGGGATTTGTAACTTCTATTTGCTGCTTTGAAAGCAAGAGACTTCTATTTTTCATAATTTAAACTCCTGCCTAACTGCATGAGCATTCAAATTCCCAGACTATGACAAAATATTAGTATGTGTCTGCCTGAAATGTCAAGAGGATCTTTAACAGAATTTATCCACCAAATACTGCATTAAAAGAATGCTAAGATGGTGACTGAGAACAATAAAAATAAGGACATTTCCAGTTCCAAATTAAATGTACGGTGCCATTGGGATGGTGGGGTGCAGAAGGAAACTAGCTAGGGGTTCCCCCTGATGCTAGGTGTTAGAAAATTGTCTTTTCTTCGCTTTCTTTGGTGTGTCACCCATGGACAGTTTTCAGATCTTGGTTTTGCTGAGAATATTTATTTTATTTTGTTTCTAAATGAATGATCTTCTGCAATATTTAGTCCATGGACTGAAGGCTAGTGTTCAGACTAAACTGTAGGCAGCTCACATGCCCAGCTGTTGGACAAATAAAACTATTCAGAGTAGAAAACCACACAACCTTCATTTACTGAGGCCAGATTTACACTCGTAGGGAATGTTAAATGAAGATGCACAACTCCAGCTACGTTAATTATGTAGCTGGAGTCGACATATCCTTTTTTGCATTTTCCCGCCATCCCCACAGAGGGAGGTCAATGGGAGCAAACGCTCCTATCAGCTTCCCTTACTCCTCACACACAAGCAGGAGTACTGGTCACCGAAGGGGGCACCCTCTGAGTTTGATTTAGTGAGTCTTAACTAGACACACTAAATCAAATTCCGGAGGATTGATCACGGGAGTGATGATCTTCTGTTTAGTGTAGGCATAGCCTGAAATGTAACAGCATTCGTTCGTTTGGTTAGATTTGATTTGATATACATTAATGTATATTAAGGGGCAGCTTCCTCTGAAAGAAAGACATTGGAGAAGAGTCTGATCACTCCATCAGGAGCATGAGATTGGCTCCTTACCCTTCTGTGGAACATCCAGGGAGTTTGGCCAAAGGATCTACTATAGACACAGGATTCTCTTTGCACCTTCCAGTCTTGCCATTGTCCCTTTCTCACAGCCAATGAAGGAGCGGACTTCTCCACAAAAGTTTCTCCAGTCTAGGCCATCAGCTGTAGCAGAGTCATTTAACACAGGCCCAAGCTCTCTGGAGTATTGAGTTTCCATGTTAAAGCCTAGCTGCTGAAACTGCTGGGCAGGGTACCATAAATGAAGGTTATTTTTCAGTGTGGACTCTTGTCTGCTGTAACCTCAACTACAACCTCAAGCCTTGCCACTCAGGCTGGGGGATTTCCGTCAGGAGGAAACTGTGTTTGCCTACCACCTCAAGGCAGATTGGTACTGCTGACCCAAATGTTGTAAGCCTCCATATATCAATATTAGCCCTCTGAGCTATCTGGTGGTTTTCAAAACAAAAACAACAACAAAAAAAAGCCCAGTGACTTTGCTTTTGCACTTTTGGAACACAAGACAATTACTTAATTTTTTTCTCCCTTTAATTCCTATCTTGAAACTCTTATATGACCCAGTTCAAGCCACCACAGCATTTTGGTACAGTTAGAAACCCCTTCCCTTGGGCAGATTAAGACCTCCCCCCCCCCCACCATGAAGTGAATGGGGATTTATTCCTAAATTTTTCTTTTACTTGATTTTACCCTGTTTTCTACTCCTAAACAGATGACTCTTATAAGAAGGGCAGGTTTATTAAACTTCCACTGGAATGTGATTAGCTTTCTCCTCTTGCCATGAGGAATTTGGATTTTTTAGAGCAAATCTCAGACCTAACAATGAATATGTGAGAAAATTGTCAATTTTGTGGGCCTCATCTAAATTCCATTGATGTAAATAGGAATCCATTTATTGGGCATGTGTGGTAATTATAGCATCTTTTATTAGTATTCTTTCTGTACATAATATATATTATTTTCCCATTGTTTACAGAGTGCAGCTGAAAGATACATTTTACACCTAGAAAGAGCTTTCGAGGTCCCCCAAAACAGCAAAGCTTATGGTCTGATCAGTGCATTCTAAAAGTACTCACAAATCAGCTTGTGTGCAAAGAAACAACTGAAATCAAGGCAATAGTAATGTGAAAGTCTGGCAATCAAACTCTGTCCCGGTTTTCTGTTGTAAAGTCAAGGAGAGCTGAGAAAACTGTAGTGTATCATTCATTATAAGGCAGGGCACATGTTTACACATGACATGCAGAATCAGAACTGTTTCCCCCAGTGCTCCCAGTTTCATGATCGAATCACAAAGAGCAAAAGAAGCATTCCTAAAGCATGATGTGTTCAGAAATTTGTTGTTGTTTTTGTTAGAGCAGTATTCAGTTGACACTAAGGGACAGAACACTATTAAAATAGCTCCTAATATGGTTAGATTTTCCTAGCCTGTTAGTTAAAGACATGTGCTAAGAGGATGCACTTTGAAATTTCTGCTCTGAGTTAATACCGCATTTCCTCCAATTCGTACCCCTCCCCTCCAGAAGCAGTATGTCCTGATGGATATAACTCCATATGGGGGACTCAGAAACCCTGGGTTCTTGTCCTAGCTCTCATCTGGGGGAGACCTTGGGCAAATCACTGCCCCTCCCTGTACCTCAGTTTCCTGACCTGTAAAATGGGGCTATTGACACTGACCTCCTGACTGAGGACTTGGAGGCCTTCCTATGAGATGTGCTGTGTAAGAGCTGTGTGTTGTTATAAAGGACTAGTAAGTTCCGTCTGGTTTTAGGAAATGTTTGTTACTTTTTAAATAAGGGCAGTGCTTTCTAAAGCTTAAGCTGCCTGTTCTGATTCTCTGAAGCTGCCTCATGCGGTTTTCCCACTCCTGCCTCTTTGCTTGCTCTGTGCACCACATGAGCTGTCTGTGACATATAAAAGCCATATTCTATGGAGGGAGGGGTTATGTTAAAGCAAGAAAATATTTGCATTTGAGAGTTAACTGTATAATTTGCTTTTTGCTTGGCCTACTCAGTGTGAAAAGAATTGGTTAATAAACATGATTCACTATTGTCTTTTCGCTGTCAGGGCAGCGGTGACCCTCTTGGTGCCAGCAGGTCTAGCGCTCTTCACTCAAGGGCTAATGCGTTTTGCTTTGGGAAATACTGACACCCAGCACCATGAGTTTGTTCGACTTCAGAAAAGGCCATATAAAATTTCCAAACTACTAAGCAATAAAACTGTTTTCTCATGTGCTGTGGTGCCAGCTGTTTAATTAGAGAATAAGCAGAGTTCTGGATTTTATTCATAAAAGTAACAGAGGATTTTTTTTTCTCCAGCTTGCAAAAGACAAAGAGCGCCTGCAAGCTATGATGACACACCTGCATGTGAAGTCAACTGAACCAAAAGCCACCCCTCAGCCGGTAAGTACTATTTTGTGCAGAAACAGAACAAAGCCTTGCAACTACCTCTTTTCCTGTTTCCCACCTCAGAGCATAATACAAAGTGTGGCCTACTTTAAAAGACTGTCAAAATGAAGAGACAAAAATTGCATCGCTACTTGGTCAGCTTAGAATATTCACTGCCACATAAGCCCATTTTTCCCACAACCTTTTTTTCTTCAAGGGGTTTAAAACTAGTCTTGACTTTAAATGTCACAATGGTCTTTTTTCTACTCTTATCTGTACACATGTAAATCCTCTGTAGGTAAGTTGAATTTGCATGTGACCAAAAGGAGCATTTGGACAAGTGTGGTTTTTAGTGCTCAAGATACAATTAAATTATACTGAGGATATTTATTTCACTTTTTACTGTGATCCTATCCTAGGTTGAGATAATGTAGACTCAAGTTGCATTTATGTTTCAATGATGATGAAAAACAACAAAATCAGTAACACTCACTGTCATTTGGTAAAGTACTTGCAGTCCGTGAAAACCCTATTCATTCTGCTTGCTTTCAAAAATAGCCTGTGAAAGAGAGAAACTTTACAGGCTGCATTTTATAATATTTTGGTCTTACAAGTAAAGATAGTCCAACAGTAAAAGCCAACTGGTGATACCTGTAAAAGCTAAACCTAGCACCTTGTTCCCTGAAGCAAATTGCACTTCAGCTGCTGTTTTTTTCATATCAGCATAATGCTAAATATTTTCCTCATAACTTCACATGATTATTCCAAGTGCAGAGAGAGAGTGCTTTGCTTTTTGATTTTAAGATTTGTAAGATTTAAAGGTACACTGCCTTTATTTGATTTTGCTTTGAGTCATGTGGAAATTAATTGAGCATTGACAATCAATAGTTAGTACGAGCAATTTTAATCAATATGCAATGATGCAGCATAATGGCAAAGTATTGGTTTATCTGTTTTGACTGATTTTATTTTTCTATAAATAAAACAAACACACACCCATGTACGTTTATGATTTATGGAGATAGAAATAAAAAGGAGTCAGACTATTAACCCCGCAAATATGGTAGCCTGCCAAGATGCAGTTGGTAGACAAAATTAATGTCTGAAACAGAACACATTACAAAGATAGAGAACATAAAATCATTAAACACTTTGCACATCCATTTTTACTAGAAAAGATTTTCTCAGTTTCCATGTATCTGGAAATAAATGGCTGCAGAAGTAGAGAGGTACTAGAAAGAAAATTGCACAGTATTTTCAACATTGTAGGAACAGGAGTCAAACTCAATGGGAAATTTCAACAGTGCCTTTTGGAGAAAGTTTGAGGGTGATGAATAAAGAATCCAGAGATTCTTAAAAGAGCTTAATCCAATCGATCTGAATAATCACAAAAGAAGACTACTTAGAGTACCTGGAAATAACTCTTCCTGTCCTTCATAAGAACATAAGCATGGCCATACGAGGTCAGACCAAAGGTCCATCTAGCCCAGTATCCTATCTGCTGACAGTGGCAATACCAGATGCCCCAGAGGGAGGGAACACAACAGGTAATCATCATGTGATCCCTCTCCCGTCATCCATCTCCAGACATCTCCTTCAGATCTCATTAGACTGTATATGCATGGCTTCCTATGTTGTGGACCAGAGTGTGCGGAACCAGCAAGAATGGGGAGAAGGGATTTGGTTTCTATCCATCCTGCTGGATGAAAACTTGAAAGAGTGAAATATTCTGGGGGTCTCAAAGCACTCTGCCGAGAGATTTTCTATAGCAGCAGCGCCTCTCAGGAGGAAGGATTAAAAACTTTAAAAAGGAAATATAAAGAAGACAAGTGCTGTTCAGCTAGTGATCAGCTCTCAGTATCAACAGGCAGTAAGCTTTCATTTGTGTTGTAGGCTACAAAGGTACCAGTTGGTGTCGCCATGAAGATTAGTATTAAGCAGCCAATAAACAGGGAAAAGCAGCAGAAAGACTAACGGGGAAAAATGGGCTGTCTTGATTAGTATTAAAAAATGTTTTACATTCTGGAAAATTATAGCTTTGATGGGGACCTCCCACTAAATTTATTTTTAACTGCTCTATTGAAAATTCTGTACCACTAGTCAACATTATCTCTCCGTTGCTCAGCACAGTGTTTCTTTATTAAAAGAAATAGGCATGAATATTTTTGACTGAAAAATTAATAGCTTTTGAATTCATACACAGCAGGTTTTCTTTTGCAAAGAAGTCCAATATCGCTGCACAGCACTTCTGTAACCATTTATTTAGAGTCCAAGTCAAACCTTTGACAGCTAGAGCAGTGTTACAAGCCAACATAAAGAACTCCAAGATGTAAACCAACAATAGGCAGTCTGTGTGAGGTTTGCCATTGTCAAATACATAGATTGTTTGGATTAGTTTATGTAAATGTACTGTTGTATTACCCTTTGAAAAAAATCACATTTGTGTATGAAAAGTGGTTTCGTTCACAGGCAGCATTATAAATTCCTTATCCTTTAACTTACATGTTAGAAGTAAAAATTGGTGCCTGACAGGACTATATTGTGTGACACTCTGTTGTTGGATTGAAACTGTCTTCTTTTCATTTATTGAAATATAGAAAAATTTATTATAGATACCATCTGATAAATCAGAAATTATTAAAATATGTATAGGTGAAGCATTTGAAAATTAATTATAAAATGTAGAAGTATAGTGTTTTGCATAAATTGTGCTTTCCTTGTGAAAAAAAAATACACAGGCATCACATAGACTATGCTAGACCTCAGTCCTTTTAACTCAGTGGGGTAGAACTTTGGTAAAAAAGATCTGATGACCGTTAGTGCACTGCAAAGTGTTTTTTTTTTTCATCCAGTAATTAATTTTATTCCCCTACCATAACTAATGCAAGGTGTATGTTAGGATTAATATACTTTTGGTACATCTCTGATTTTAAAGGCGTTATTACTGATCCAAACATAACAATACACAGTGATTTAAAATTACAGCTTTTTAATGACTAGACAGTTTATGGGATTTTTTTCCTATTTAAAAGCTTTTAAGAACTGTTTAAAAAAAGTATTAACTAGATGGCAAAATGGACAGTGAGCCATTTTATTGTGTCTCTCTTGTAACGGAGTGCTTTTTGGCTGCCATTTGTGTTTCACCCTGGCCAGTGATGTAATCTTGCCCTGTTTAGCTATAGCACATCAATTAGGATAGTGTTTTTTGGCCTGTGCGGATCATGGACTAACCTCTGGTGGCTTAGTTCAGGAATCAACCCAGCCCAGTTGACACAGCAGCTTGTCAGGTCTAGTCATGCTAACGTGTATCAGTCTTTAGACTGCATTAGCACCTTGGAATAATTGGTATCTTGGAAGACCCATTAGAATGACCATGGGGATTTTTTTAAGCTCAAGAAGCCGCCAGTGTAGACGTTGCCTAAGTGTGTGGGTTACATCTCCACCACCCCCAGGGGAAAGAGGGATGGAAACGCAGGTGTCGGCAGCCCTAGCGGCTGTGGTTCTAGGCCTCGCTTTATTGGAACAGGCCGGCCTGGCTGCGCTTAACGGGTGAGGCAAAAGTCACATTATCAGTGGGCGGTCGCGTCCTTACCAATAGGGTGGGGCAGAGGGGGGAATACGCAGCCCACAGGCCGGACGCAGTTCGCCAGGGTTAGCCCCAGCACTTTATTTACCTGCACGCCCGCAGGTATGGGCGATCACAGTGCCAGTTGGCCAGGAAAGGTGATCTGCGGCAAACAGGAGCTGTGATTTCCCCCATACCTGCAGAGGCACAGGTGTGGGGGCCCTCCAGGGGCTAACCCTGGCAGACTTGATCCAGCCCGGAGGCTGGTATTTGCCCACTCCGGTATACACTCTTTAAAGTGTCTGATTGTGACTTTATAACTGAGATGCCCAAGCCTGTAACGTGTTAACAAGAAAATGAAGTACTCAGTAGTTTACTGAATAAAGAATATGAGATAATTCTCTCTGCTGAGATTTAAATATTCCAGAATGAATTTGGTTGACCTTGGGAATATGTGATGATGTATAGAGGTGGAGGGTTTTTTCAGTGTTTAAAACAACAACTACCACAACAACTCATAAACATTTTTTATTCTAGTGTTGGTATTAAGGTCACCATTTTCATTCATGTCGGAGGTCAGCATAATAGAATAAATCAGAAGCTTGATCTGCTTTGGGGTAATAACTAAACATCAAAGAGCCACAACCTAGGCAGGAGGGAAAAAAATTCTGTGTTCTTTTATTCTGGCCAACAAGACGTTCTGTGTACGAGGTAGTACATCCATCTTTATGAAACTGACATAAAAAATTTGAATAAACTGTTGGCATTTTAAATGAAGTGCTCTGTTAGATATTCCTTTTTAATAATATTTTCTTTTAGTCTAACCATAGCAGTTGCAATTGTTTTTAAATACTGTTTTTAGCAACTGTGAAAACAAAGTATTTCAATAAAATAGTCTTTTAACTGTTTAGGTAACGATTGAGCATTTTAGCTGCTGTAGTCGTACTTATAGTTTGAAAAATAATGATATGCAGCAATAAAAAGAGATTCTCAAGTACAACACACAAAAGCTGTTTTTATATACTGTTTTTCATTAAGTCCCACTCCTCAGATCGGGTTTCCTTAGTATCCCTGCCAATAACAACACCTGCTAAGCGATTGTTGCCTGCCAGATCCTACATCTAATACAGTAATGTGTCCAGGCTGAAATAGTACAGGAAGACGCAAAAATTAACAGAGCTTGATGCTCTGCACCCCAGTGTCCCTTCACCTTCAGAAGTCTCTGTACCAGTGTGATTAAAGTCCAGAAACTCTGTGCAGTTATTTCATCAATTTCTGCACCAACAGCAGAAAAATCAATGCCCTAAAGCATTCGGTACAGCCCCATTGTGACATTTTAATTTTTTTCTTCTAAAATGTTTCAGCTTCTTTATTTGCAGCCACTATTGTAATGTAATCTGTTTACATGGAGAGAAATCAAATTGAGCCTTAACAAGAGAGCCACTTAATACAAATCTCTTTTTATGGGTGAAGGAGAGAGAAACCTCTCTGGCTTGTTAATATGTGTATTCTATATATAAATAAAATTCTTGATGACTCAATCATCAGCTTTAAAGGGGAGAAAAAAGCTATTTAATGAAAGTAAAGATTAATAATAATAAAAAGCAAGCAGAATATTGGATGCTAAAACAAGGATGGCATTTATGATGGTTAGATTAGAGAGGTGTGAGCCACCTGTACTATAAAATCCTACAGTGGTGGAACTTGCAAAACTACAGGCTTTTAAAACAGATATTTCAAAAATAGAAACTCTAGGGAGAAATACTCACTTCAAAAATTATTACTGAATAGCTTAGCCTTTTGAGGCAGGGACTATGTACAATGTGTTTGGACAGCACCTAGCATATTGTGTGCCCAATTGGAAATGCCAAGAACAATACTCATTAAAAAAAGCCAACTTAGTGAATAACGTTCAGCACCCTGCAGCAAGAATGATACCTCGTCAAAAAACAGCAGTATGTGGGAATCTTGGTGTGTCCAATCTTGGCGTGAACAACTTTTTCTAATCAGAGCAACTTGTTTTTCAATAGAAAGCACAAGCAGAGGAATTCTGAAGAGTTTCCACCAGGAAAAGAAATTCTCCCGTTACAGTCCCTTCCTGATCTTTGCCCTGCAAAATCGTCTTTAGCAGCCAGAAGCATAGGGCTTAGACACTTCTTCATTCCTAATTGATGATGATATTAAGATTTAATCATTTACAATTAAGATTAATATTTTAAGATTACAACAAAATCAACACCATTCATAATTTGTTATTTTGCTGTACTTCAGAATTAATTTGTAAGTTCTTCCTTTTATAGATCACAATGAAAGAGGCACGTTGAGTATTAAAATGTAGATGGTTGAGCATATTCTTCCCTTTACCCTGTTGCATACTTTTGTCCCAATAAGGCTGAAGCACCTTCAAGAGCTCAAGATAGCATCCTCAAACAAAACCAAGTAAAACTTCTCCAGCAATTGGCAAGGTCGGCATTTCATTAACTTGTTGGTTCAGTCATACAAATGGCAGTTCGAGATGAAACACACTATGCTCACAGTGCTCCAGCTTTTTTGTTCGTTCTTTCTTCACAGACTGCAGTCATGTTTAATCTGGAAACTTGGCTCCTTTGGCAAATTAGCAATTAGAACAATTTTGTGGGAATATGTATATGTGTCATTAGTTTTCCTGCAAATTAATAGCAAGAGCAGAGGTCAGGCAGAAATTTTCCACTTGACTGCAGCTCCTCTGTTGAGATTTGGCACTTTGTTTTGGAACAGCCACAGCTGCTCAAAGCCACAGTCTTCCTTTAGGAACTGTCTTTTAATTAGTTTACCTCATAGCCATTATTACAAATATTACTGCCTCCCCTCCTTGAAATAAAATTACTGTTTCTACAAAATATTCCAGTGACATCTTGCACCACTGCACATTGATGGTGGGGTCATTCGAATGCAGTGTTTAATCATTAGATCACCTCCATAAGCATCTCCTAATTAGAGTCCTTACAATACAATTTTATCTGGTAATTAGCTGAGATTGGCTGCTTCCTCTGTAGCTTATTAGTGGCAGCCCAGCAGTGGGTGTGAATCACAGTGTCATTTGTCAACCCTGTTAAAGCCCCTCTCTTTGCTCTTCCTCTCTTACTGTATTTATTTCTAGTCACTAACTCCGCTGAAAGCCTAAAGAAATTAAACTCCATTCACATCCTTTAAGCAGAGAACATTGACCTTTGCAGATTTTTTTTTTCAGTTTTCTAGTAGAAACAGATTAAATGTTAAGTTTTTAAACAGTTAAAAAGAATCTAATTCTTTCACAGTGGAGTCATTTTGGACAATAATGATGAAACCCTATCAGTGATCTTTCTAACAGAAGAGAACATCTCCTGAGCTTGTGGTGTAGAGGGGCACTTAAATCGATGCAGATTTGCTGGCAGTTATTGGACTGTTAAAATGTTCATTTGGAAACTGAGATTAAATACGGGGGATTTTATTTCATAGTGAGACCTGTCAGTTGTACTATTATTGTCATTATTACTCCTTTTTTTATATGTAATAAATGGATAATCAGGGGGCATAGCTTATATGTATAGCACTATACAGTGCACTTACATCTAAACAGGCCACAAAGTGACTGTTTCCCTCATACGCTATATTGTATACGTTTTTATAAATATTTAAAAACATGAACTACGCCCATTTAAATGCGAATACAATTGCAGGTATACTTAGAATGTATGTATTGGTTCACTACATTGTATGAGTCTTCAGATACTTGGGCCATGTATTTTATTGCTTTTCCTAGTCTCCTTCTCTTCCCCCTCCCCCAAAAATGTGGGATCATATAATCCTGCATTTCCTTGAAATGTTAACTATTTTCCATTAAGAGAAGACACTTTGTAACTTGTAAGCACCTGCCCGAAGAGATGTATATTTGCAGATCTGCTTCACACGAACTAATTTCTTTGGAGCAGTTCCTGAGCTGACAGTGTACTCAATCCCATCTACATAACCTGTCACTGTGTTACTCTTTGGGGCAAACATTTCTTTGAGTGTTTTGTATTTCACGTTCAAAACAGAGAAGCAGGAACAATATATGTATCCAGTTTATACCATTAGAAATCCCACTCCCACCCAACATGTTTTTTTACTGGAGTTTGTTGTGTTGTTTCGAGTGGGGTTGTTTTGGATTTTGTAAGAAAGCAATTATTTGTAGGTACCAGTGTTTCAGACATCTAACATGAGTGTTTTTACCTGCTTACTTTCATGTCAAGAACATTAATAAGGAGTCCTGTGGATGTTTTAGGCGTGTCTGCATGGCATACCTCACCTTCATTTGGCAGTGTTTAATGTCAGGCAATGAATATTAATTACCAACAAACAGAGTGAAATCCTAGTCCTTTTGAAATAAATGGGATTTTGCTGTTGGTTTCACTGGCGTCAACATTTCATTCCAGAATATTGTTCACAATAATGGTTCAAGGCAAGTAATGTGGAAGAACTGAAAGGTACCCTTTTCTCATGACCCCTTTCTGATGAAGCAGTTTGGGATCATATTGTATATTTAAAGTAAACAAAAATGAGACATTGCGATGAAGTATCCTGATTTGAATTGTGCCTAAAGAAAGGGTCCCTGATAGATTTGCACACTGGTAAAATAAATAGAAATACATGTTAAAAACAGTTCCGCATGGTTATCCATTCTTGGGGCAGTCACATTTTAAAGCCTGCTTGTGACTAGCTGTCATTTTGTTACATGCCTGTAAGTTTCTGTAGGTAGCACAATTGCGTTCCACACCAAGGAGATAAAAGAACTCTGTCGTCGTTGTCTTTTTTTTTTTTTTTTTGCTGGGCTTAATGACTGCAGTATTTCATGCAGTGTGATTAATTAAATTATTCTAGAGTTAGACTATTCTGGGATTTGCGTTTAAAATGGATGAACAGAAAAAGCCCAAATGTTGTACTCAGCTTCCATTTCTTCCTAGTGCATTCCTAACAAAGCATTGTCTTTATTTTAAACCTGATGCCTTTGAGGAACTATCCAGAAACAGATGAGCTACAGAATATTAACATGTAAACAAGAGATGTATAGGTTTTAGATTGCAAAACAATGGAAAGAAAATAAAATATTAAAATGAATATGTACGATGAGGTGGTGTTTACAAATTGTGGGGTTTTGTGCTAAATCTTTAAATCATGAGAGCAAAGCATTTTTGTTTACTAAGTTACGGGGTTGTTCTTTTTAAATATATTGTACATTCATCCTCCTGTCGTAGATTTTAAAGGTGTTAGAGCTAAACAATTATTTGATATATTCTCTGCTTTTAGTGGTCGTAATCACTGTTAAATCTAAAAAGATGTTTTCATAACCCTTAATTTGCAAGAAATGTAATTTGTAACAAAGTTTTCCCTTTCCCCTTTTCTCTCCCCCCTTAACAGCTGAATCTGGTATCAAGTGTCACACTGTCAAAGACTGCCTCTGAGGCTTCTCCACAGAGCTTACCTCATACTCCAACCACCCCAACTACACCCATCACTCCTGTCATCCAGGGACCTTCTGTCATCACTACCACCAGCATGCACAATGTTGAACCAATCAGGAGGCGGTGCCCTAATAAATACAACGTGGCCATTTCTTCAGGTAAATGACTGTCGATGGCAAAGGCCGTTATTTGTTTTCTCCTGTACATTGCAAAGGGAGCTTCAATTCTGATATTAACAGAACAACTGCTCTTATTTAGCAGATCTTGCTCAGAACCAAGAATTTTATAAGAATGCAGAGGTTAGACCACCATTCACATATGCATCTTTAATTAGGCAGGTAAGTTCTCGAAAACCATGTTTCAATGAAAAATTGTTTCTCTACGTCCACCCTATAGATTAAATAGATTTAAAACCCTTTGAAATGCAGGAATCACAAACCTTTACTATGAGGGTTTTGAGAACTGCAATATATAACATAATTGCTTTTGATTAAGTATTACAATACGATGTGATTATTAGGAAATTCATTTCACACAACAGTGAAAATGAGCCTGTTTAAAGATGGCAAGTCAATTATCACAAGCTACAGTAATCTCTGATCCCTAGAATTAATCTGAGCTCTAAATAATTACTGAGCTTTAATCAGCTAGTGAAATGTTTTGCATTTCTCTTTGATTCTGCTTTATGAATGACTAATAAATTAATATTTCTGTAAGGAAACAGAAATAAAAATTCAAAACAATTAGATAATTCCATTCTGAATCTTGCCATTGAACTGTTAAATGCAGCCATTAATCTTAGAACTCACAGTGTGAAACCCTCCTTTGGATTTTTGCTCCAAATCTCTCTTTTTTAAATTCATTCAGGTAATAGTTATAGGTGTTTTTGCAGGCAGTTTTGTCATAAACTAATCATGCATTTTATTTGCTTCACAAGGCCATCCTCGAATCTCCGGAAAAGCAACTAACACTAAATGAAATCTACAACTGGTTCACACGAATGTTTGCTTACTTCAGGCGCAATGCAGCGACATGGAAGGTAAGGTTTGCACCATGCATGTCTCTTGCTTCTGGTATTTGACGTGTACAGAATAGACATTGCCGATGACATAACAAATTGTAACAGCATATGGACATTAAAATGTAGATTGGCTGTTTTGACACACACAGGGTGTCTGATCCGCAGGAACAATTTGATATTTGGCAGAAAAATTCTTCTGCCTTTGAAAACCACTAATTGAATCCCTGTTATTAGCTTTTATGTTCTGTGAGTATGCCACCAGTTGATCGGTGCGCTTGCTTCTAGGAGTGAAACTCTAGCTTTTCAGCTGGAAGATGTAGGGGGGGAAAAGGGTGTAGATATTGTGTCAGTACATGATGTACAGTTTTTCCTATTAGTTACACAGCTCTTCATTTTTCTAGCTGTGTAAAACCACAACAACCATCTTTTCCAGGGATATATAGACAGCTTTTTTGTCAGGAAATTGGTACCTGGCTAAATTAACATTTAAACTCGATATAATTGCCACTGGTTTATTATGACGCCAAGTTAATTTGGCATAATACTAAAGAAGCAAGCCAAGAACAAAACAAAAAAAAATCTAACAGATCAAGAAACTTAAAATTTGATGCCTTATATTCTTACTGCAGGGTGTTGTTGTTGAGTTAGATTTTTTTGTGTGCAGAGTTTCAGTTTTCACTGCTACCCCTTTCCCTTGTGTGGCCTGTTATAGGAACGTACCCACAGTAGTCTCTAGAGCTAGCATGATTACTACTGGATGAATCAAATAATGGGATCTTTCACTGAAGTAAGAATTGTATCATGGTGCTTGTAGTCTTTCTTGGTCCAGGTAACCCAATAGTTCTTGAACAAATTGCCTCTATAGCAGCAGGTCTGATAAATGTCCCCCTATACCTGCTGATTTCTTTTCCTTTTGTCTTTCTTATTCTGCAGTTCAGGATAGGTCCTTCAAAGGATGAAGTTAGAGAGGTCTTCTGCTTCCAGGGTTTATTGGAAAATTTACTGTATTTCACGTGTGTGTGTTTGCTCCTCAAATTCCATTGCCTTTAATTCAAATGCCTTGGGACAAACTGGTAAATTTCAGCACCTCCTCTCACACTTCAGTCATCTGTCCCTTGGAAACTCTCTGAGATTGGGGCTTTATTTTCTACTAAAGAAGTGTATGCCACTGAAAACATTCTGACACCAAACTCATTTTCAAAATGCCCTTGAAAAGCACTTTAATTCAGGAAACTTTTTTAATACTTCGCATTAAACTCAACTTTTTCAATTAGGATACGTCTAGACTGGCCCCTAATTCCGGAAAAGTCATGCAAAGCAGGTAAGTCTCCTACCTGAAAGTAGGAATAAGAGATCCTCCGGAAAAGGGCTTTATTCCGGAGGATCGCGCCAGTCTAGACACTTTTTTCCGGCTTTTCCCCAAGCTGGAAAAAAAGCAGCGGACATGTTTATTTAAATCCCGCGGGGGATATTTAAATCTCCCGCGGATTTCCCTATTCTGACTTACCTGCTTTGCATGACTTTTCCGGAATTAGGGGCCAGTCTAGACGTATCCTAATTGAAAAAGTTGAGTTTAATCCGAAGTATTAAAAAAGTTTCCTGAATTAAAGTGCTTTTCAAGGGCATTTTGAAAATGAGTTTGGTGTCAGAATGTTTTCAGTGGCATACACTTCTTTAAAGACTGCAGAGCCAGCATTTTCCTGATTTTTTTTAAATGAAGTATACATATTTGTATATATAGACACTATATTCATATGTACAATGGAACCTTCTTATAGTTTTCATGTTAGACATGAAAAAAACTTTTTTTCATTTGAATTCTACTATCCAGAGTCTGCTTTAAAAAACAACCCTCCAATTTTCAGTTGTGTATTAGTCCTTTGAGAGAGATTCTTCTTCACGCACATCCCCAATGCTCTTTATCTTCAGTGGCAGCCCTTTTTAAGGGATATGTCTGTCTCTTGCTGCCTGTGTGGCTTCATTGGAACTTTTCTATAGCCGCAGGAGAAAAGGCTCCAACACGAATCTGCTTTGATTCTGGCCTGCAGCTGTGAGGGTGACACCAGGCTGGTGAATGTGGCCACTTTTCGGAACTGGGTGTGTGCATCATATAGGATGCACTCTAGAGGGTCACAGGAGTCAAGGACAGTAAGAGTCATCCTTGCAGCTCTGGTGACAAAAGAGATGCCTATGGGAGAGGAGACAGATATCTTACTGAAGTGTCCCACAGCCACAAAGGATAAAAGGAGACGTTTACCCTTGTGAGCCCACAAAAGACCCCTTGACACTGTGTAATGTTAGGTGTGCACTGTAAGCAAGCATGAATTAGTGGGTTCCATCACAATGAGCACAGTGGATGTTTACTTGAACTAATCTGGGGCCTTCATGCAGAAGGCTGTTCAGATTAATGCCAACCTTCAACGGCCACAGGCATCTGAAAACTTGCCTAGATTTGAAAACAACAAGTAGTCTTGTGGCACCTTAGAGACTAACCAAAATACATAGACTCATGAGCTGTCGCCTCATCAGAAGGATTTTTGATGGGAAACTCCCTGGGCTCTAACAGGCCCAAAGTCCTGACTGAAAAATCAGAATGAATCTAAATTTGTGCTTCAGGCCCGTTTTCACTAAATGTTCAAATATCACTCTGGCCAGCTTCTTCAGTATTAGTCACAGCGTAGGTAAAGATCTGCAGTGGGTGGGAATGCCTGAGATCTCCTCATTTGGGGGGGGGTCCCAAAAATGTAGAAAAAAAGAATTTATAAATGAAACACTTCATCAAGTGCAGCACAGCAGAGCCTGAGCAGTTATTAAAATAACAAACCCTTTCATTTAGAACATTCAAGCACGTTTGAGGTAATTTTTCTAAAAAAAGTGGCTTGCATACAAATACTTTTAATGAGGTAAATATGCAGTCTTACGGTAATAGTGCCTAATTTTTTTGTGAAGCAGAGCACTAGAAGAACATTCTGAACTGGTTCTGACAGGTCAGAGGCAATGTCTGTTTGCGTGGTTGTTCTTCGGAGTAGTGATTTGCTGCAACGGAATTGCAGCCATGAGGCAGAAGATGCAGGCATGGCTTTGAAATGGGGGCATTGTTCAAATAAAACTGTTAGCTAGCAAGAATCCAGAAGCAGGAAAACAAAAAACAATCATCCTTTATAAACTCACTAAGCAGGTGGTCATATATAAACCTGGAAAGCTAAGACATCTTTCCCCAAATGCCTTACAAATATTTTTTTGTTGTCTGTTTCAGTATATTGAGTCAAAACCTCATGCAGTCCCCCTAAGAGTCAGTGGTAGAACTCCCATTGGCTTTACTAGAGCAGAATCAGATCATAAATGATTTATCCAGTATTAAATATATTTAAAGAAGAATGCAGATACTTAAGTTCAGTTGTTTATGCAGAGACTGCTTACAAACTCTAACCATCCATTTTTCTTGTCTGCAGTTGATCAATTGCTGCATTAGACTCCAGTATTGGTTTTCACTGTGGGAACTCTGTCATTACTATTTTACATTTTGTTACAAACTTGAAAATGTTCCTATTTGCACTGGAAACATTGCTTGAGTTAACACCGATTTAAATCTTGTCCTTGGTTAGGTTCTTCTGGCAGGCCACTGTACCAAGCAATAGACTGTTGGTTTATCTCAGTGCAGGCGCAAGAGGCTAAGTGCAGATGAAGTCAGTCCTGCTTCTGTTGAAAATACCATCACACTGAAACAAATGAGAAAATGTGCATTTTCATCTTTTCAGGGTTGAAAACAGCAGTTGTGCCCCCAGGATTTCTCACCCATTGATATGGGAAGAGTACAAAAAGATAGACCCCAAACAAATATTGGGACTTCCTCAGAGCTTCAGCATCCACCCTCTGCCATGTTCAGAAGAAAAAAGTCACCCAGCACTGATTTCCCCACTGATCAAGATACTGACCAGTGTTCCCTTTAAACTGTGCGGCAGCATAGCTTCACAGGTGATCAGTCAGGTCCCTGCAGGGAGCCCTGAGCCTCTGACTGGGTAGGGATGATTAATCACTTGTGAAGCTGTGCTGCTTAGAAGGAACACCGATGGTGACAAAGTGGAAAAGCTGAAGAAGTGTGTGGATTTTAGTATGGCAGAAATGTGTCATGGCCCGTAAGCACAGGATCGAGTACATAAGGCTGTCTTTACATTGTGCTGACCTGTTAAGAAGAGAGTCCATATACTGAATTTTATGCTACTATGAGTGGATAGGTGATGGGGAGATACTCGCCTCATAGAGAAATTTCCAAGCAAAAATAACAAAAGGGTCCCTGACGTCCCCTAACCAATGCACAAACACTGCCTCTTAATTTACATGACAAATGCACTCCACAGAACCTTTGTTTGTGCATTGATTTAGACATTCATGATTAGAACTTCTTTCATCATCCAGACCCGATGTTCGTCAACAGTGTGTTGAAGTCGCCTGGTTGCCTAGACTCATGCCCATGTGTTTGGCTGGCATTGTGCCCGCTAACAAGTCAACCAGATTGACGAAATCAGTGAGTGCCAAGGATGATGGATGTAGTTTGTTCGCCTGCCTGCTTCCAGCCAATGGTCTGCTCCCCTTCCTCTAGTTTGTGATCCTCTTTCAGTAGCAATGCACTGGCACTAGAGAACAAGCATCATTGCAAACCTGAGTGGCTTTCCCGCTGCATAGTTGCTCACAAAACAAGAGGGACACACGCTTGCTAATAAGATATTCAGTGCCCTTTCAGGGAAGCAGAGGCACAATTGTTTGCATTTACACAAGAAGTGTCTCATTGTGTCAGCCTTAGGCACAATTCAGGACATGTTCGAGATCTGGTGATTCCATCCTGCGGAAGGACTGGGTTGCACCTAACAGAATAGGGTCTGACTGTCAAGAACCATAGCTCTGGAATGCCCAATAAAGGAGCCTAGCAACCATAAGAAAAAAAATGTGTCTCTACATGTGGGGAGATTATCACTTTGTTTCTGAGAGCCCTCCTCATGTGTGCAGTTGGCAGAAGCTCAATTTTGTCAGTACAGTAGCCTGCCAGAAATGAGAGCCAACTTCCATGAGCATGCAGTGGAAGACATGACTTGGTGCACTGTGCTGGTCACAGGGGTGCTGCTTACTTGGTGTGGAAAGAGGTTCAGCACCTGATTCACATTAGTCCAGCCGTGGAAAACCACACAGACCCCTGCTCCAATATCTCTTTGCCAAACAGAGCCCTCTACAGTTACATGGAATTCTCTGGTCTTTTAAACTGTTTTCTTTTTCCAGGAGAGGAAAAGTTTCTGTTACAAACTGTATACTTGTTTTGAAAATATCTTAGCTCTATTACTCCAACTATATGTAAAATATGCTGTTACCTGATGTGAATAAGATGGAGGTTCTCGTTCCCCCTGTGAATAATTGTCAAAATAACCTTCATTCATAATCTGGGTTTTGAGATTTTATTTTTATCTTTGCAAAATAAGATCTTAAACATGTAATGATTGGGTTCATTGGGAAAAGGAGGGGGTGGGTTGGGGGAAGGGGAATGGAGTTATCTTTGCAAATAAGGATTGTCAAGCTGACTATGCTGCTGTTCTTGGACAATGATGAGCATTTTCTCATAGAAAGTTTTTGAATGTTTTCTCTTTTATACTTGCTGCAGAATGCAGTGCGTCATAATCTTAGTCTTCACAAGTGTTTTGTGCGAGTAGAAAACGTTAAAGGGGCAGTATGGACAGTGGATGAACTAGAGTTCCAAAAACGAAGGCCACAAAAGATCAGTGGGTATGTCCACCATGTTTGAACTTCTTAGCCTAGCTCGGATCATGCTTACAGTTTAACATAGAGGCTTTTGGCTGCTAGATGGTGTTAGACCAAAACAGGTGGTTTCACATTGTTTCAGTTAAGGGAAACAAAGAAAAGCATCTCATCACTACTGTTTGTATGCCCACCAGAACCCTTGCCCCTGCTTGCTTGGTGTTTGTTGCATCACATGCTAGTAGCTTTTAGGTGGCAATGCATATTAACCCTCACAAACCATTTGCTTATGCTTATTGCATTTTATTTTCTTTTTCCTTTTCCCTGTATTTGATGTCTGTTCTGTCCCCAATCCCGTGTCCCTTTGTTTCCACTTCATCTCCTTTGCTGCTGCTCTTGTCCCAGGGTGCCATTCGCACCAACCTCTCACTGCATAAGTGCTTTATCAGAGTAGAGGATGAGTTTGGGTCCTTTTGGACTGTTGATGATGAAGAGTTTAAACGTGGCCGTCATATTCAACGAGGCCGTCCTCGAAAATTCTGCCCTGATGAAAACTTTGGCGAGCTTGTGGCACAGTAAGAGCTTTTACTTGCTTTTATTTTTTTTCTGCTGTTGCTTTGCTTTGCATGATCTACCCATCTCATGTAGACTTGCATTTCATGAAACAGTGACCTCACCTTTGCTGCAAAAGAAACTAAATGTCGTGGTTTTATATGTGTGTTGCACTTGTCCCTGCGCTAATAATACAAATGCCTATGATAATGCTGCTTTGACATTTGTTTCAATGTTGTTTATAATGCAATGTAGACTAAAGGGTACTGCTCCTAGACCAGATACACTGTGCAGTTGGTTTTCAAGAAGGTTTTTAGGCAAACTAGATTTGGATAATTTTCTGTTTGATTCAATTATATGCTTTGTTTCACGATTCTTCTCACAGAAATACAAGTCGATATTCCTCAAATAAATAACTGAAATTCCCCCAGAGCATTTTGACATTACTCCAGTTGGGCCTGCAGTAAAGATTGCAAACAGCAGACCACCCTCTTTTTAAAAACAACCACTTTAAACAACCCTACGGTTCCCAAGGCAATTTTAATTCATCGTTAGTTGAAGACCACTTGTCCAGGACAACTATGTTTTGCTGGTCTCAAGGGTGTTGAGTTTAAGATGGTTATTGCTCAGTTCTGTTTCAGAAAAGAAACAAAATTGTATTTTAGATGATAAATATACTTAGGGGTTGTTGGCCCTGGACTCTCCCTGGCTTGGTGTGCGGGTTTTGGATCTCAGCCAAGTCAGAATGGGTGCTCTGCATATTCTGTACATCAGGCCCCTTTTAAAAACCTTGGCCACAAAAGTACTGTGATATTCTGAAATAATGGTTCGAAGAAACAGACTGGGATACTTTTTTACCAGTGCTCCCTGACTCAAATTTTATCTTTAAAGTTCCCTATCACGGCCTTCAAGTGCCATAATATCGGCTGTTCCACCTCTCCTCCAGCACCCACAACAAAAATGCTTTGGGCTGTAGGATTGCCAAGCACTTACTATGCTATCCAAGGTTTATCTGACATGAAAGAATACAACTCCAAAAGCAAGAATACTGAAGTTCCTACTTACCAAAATTCTCCCATCCAGCTGAGGATGACACTGATGTCAGCTACTACATAATTTACCCTGAGTCAAAATACTCCATAATGCCATTAATAGTAATCTCCTAACTATGGATCTTTATGTAGTAACTGACTTATGAATAGAAAGAACTTGGAAAAATTCTGTTGCATACACAGTCCCAGAAGAAAACAAATGCCAATAGGTAATATTTCAACTGGCCAATAGAACACGAGATACTGTAACTGTTAAAGATTTGAATAATGGTCTTCCATATTTTATATAGGCAAATGCAATTATGGTAGCCATTCAACTAAAACATAATATTTATAAAACATAATATTTTAAAAAAAAAGAAAATAATTTGAACAGAAAACAACAGTCTGTAGTTTTTCTGGTGCGGGAGGAAACATAACATGATGGAAACAAACCAGGATGATGAGTAGTTTGCACTTAACTCTACTTTTTATATTTTTCTTATGCAGTAACCCTTCTCTTATTAAAAACATACAGACCAGCCACACCTACTGCACACCTCTCAATGCTGCTTTACAGGTAAGATTAATGATTGTAGCAAATATGCAACAGAGGCATGTGTCTTCCCCACTCATTTCAAAATATATTAGCCTTGCTCTAATTAGATATTAAATTTTAATTCCGTTAAACTTTTTTCTTAAGTGCATAAAGCATCATAGTCCCTGGAGGCAAACACATATCAGGCTGCTTCAGCATTAGCTAGATGCTTAGCATTTTGAATATTGTGGCAAAAAAATTAAAAGTTCACTTATTAATATTTATCAGCAGTATCATAATTTCCATCCTCTTATTTCAGAATTTCACTTGAGGCAAAAATACCACAAGTGTAATTACTCTAGCACAGCTATTAATGTGCTGAATGATAGGATACTGTGTCACATGACCTTCTATTGTTCATGGCTTTAAAGGGAAAGGCGAGCCTTCTCTCCCCGCCACCCCCCACCTTCTTTTAAGGGTATTTTTCATATTTTTCTATTGTTGTCAAATAACAAATGTTGAGTTTACTTTGTAAAGAAGAAGAGAGATGTCAGAAATTAAAAAGGCCATGCAGATATTTCACAATACAGGAATGATATAAATATATGTGCACAGTAAACATTTGTGCATATCTGAAACTTCTTTTGTGTATTATACAAAAGAAATACATGTTTTCCTCATTCTTTCTCTGTTCAAATTATTTATTTCGGCTCATATGCCCCCGATGACATCAGTATTCATTATAAGAACCACTAAGTTACAAGCATTTTTTTTTGTATTTTGCCTACTAATTACTATGTGTTTTCACACCTCTTCCACACGGTTTCCCCAATCATTACAAGGGCCTTAATCTTGCCCATGAGTTCCTCACATGCAATAGCTTATTTCTGCAAGATAGTTGATGATTGCACGATGGAGCCCCAAACATTCATAGAGAGCCTTCCCAAGATGTTCGCCAAAGGTTAAACTGTGTTCAGTGGATTAAGTGTGGGGTGTTTGAGCAATTAAGTGTTGTGAAAGATTTACTGGCTTTGCAATTTAAGCAATTTATTTTTTTTAAAGAAGAAAACAGATTAATGGGAGAGAAGTGGCCCAGTGCATTTCTCCTAATTATTTCAGTTAATGCAGTAACTTCCGAAAGGAAAATGAAAGCATGTTTAAATGAAGCAACTGTAAATACCATTCATTAATAACTTATTTTCCCTTGAATTTTGTGAAGTATGATTTTTAAAAACTGCTTTGTCTGTTGAATAGTGTTACGATTACAAGCACATTTTACCTTCATCAGGCTGAAAGACAAAAATAAAATGATCCTGCATTCCTTCAGAGTCTGTTAACTATGCAACTAATTTCAATTAACACGCTTATCATGCAGAACTATTCATGTGTTCCTTCTAAAACATGGGTTGTTGTTCTTGTCATTTCCTTCCATTCTTTTGTGAAAACCCCAAAACTATTTTCATTTTCCAGTTTCTCAAAAGACTAGCCTGTGTTTTGTGTCCTCGGATAATGCTAAACAAACAACTTGATTCAGATGAGAATCTGAGCAGGTTTTGCTCAAGCTTTTGAGGCTTGTCAATAAACAATATGATAAGATAATATTGTGCCAATTAAATATAAGGTTTTAGTAGGAGTAAAATATACCAGCAGGGTCCTTGCTCCCTATTATGAGACCGTTTCTAACGAGTAGCGCCAAACCTACATCTCATGGCCTTCTGTAAAAATTGTGTTGTGTTCTCTGCTGTGCAAGAGGAAAGAGAGCATTTGCAAAAAAAAAAAAAAAAAAAAAAAGAGAGAGAAAAAAATCATTGGCATAAAACATTTTATGCATAAGGTATAAGGTAACATGTGTGAAATGGCATGGTTTGTATAATAAATTTACAAGTCTATGATATGAATTTCCTGTCTGTGGAGATGTTGAACCAAACTCTCTATTACTGACTAGAACTATGCCCCCTTATAGGTTTGGGCATATCCGTTATCTGCAATCACAAATTTGATGGGTTCCTATTGAAAATGTGATGTTACATACCTCCAAAAATGTCAGGAGTTTTTTTCCTCTGTGGGTGGTAGTGGTGCCACACACAGCTGACATTTCTGAGGTCTGCTTTCCCTCATGGTTAGAGAGAAGCAGCACCCTTCTCTTCCCTGCTCTGAGCATAGAGGGTATAGTGATCCCAGTTCTCACCTCAGGGGAGACCTAGAAGCTGTATCTTTTTCCCCTGTCCTGACAGCATTGGTGGTTCTCCCAGGGCTTACGCTCTGTTCTGCCTGACTATACAAGAGCACTCCCAAAATCTGTGCTCCATTCCAGACAAAGATCAAGCAACTGCCAGCGCACCTCCCTGCAGACCTCGGGGTGCGAGTTCCTTTGTGCACAAATGGAGTGGGGTAGGAGGTAGGGATGTTAAAATGCATTTAATTAAGCAACTAGGTAACTGCTGAACATTTCAGCGGTTACCCATGGGGCGGCAGCCAGCTCCCTGGGAGCTGGTGCGCAGCTGCACCACCTGCACACAGTGCCCCCTGCCTGCTCCCTTCACAAGCTGCTGCCTGCAATACAGACAGCAGTGCAGGAGGACGGGAGCAAGTGGCTCCCCAGCAGTGCAGGAGGACGGGAGCAAGTGGCTCCCTAGGAGCTGGTGAGCATGGGGAGCCAGCTTTTAAGCTGATTCCCCACACGTACCGGGAGCCCAACCAAACCTGCTCCCAACGCTGAAAGTGACCCTATCCCATGTGAATGGTTCTGAACAGATTGGTTAGCGTTGCTGGGTTGATCTGCCTCTGCCCTTTGTGCTTCTGCCTGGAACCAGAAGTACCAATATTCCAAGTACAAACAGAGTGGGGGTTTTTCCATTTTGAATAAAACCAGGCAACAGCAGAAATCTGCCCAAAGTCTGATCTCCAGAGGCCCCCTGCCTAAGCTCCTAGCTAAAGGGGTTCAAGAAACTACCAGTATTTCTGGGTAATGAGTCTGAACCTCACTGCCAAACTACCCTGCTTCCTGCTTTATGCAGAGGATCAGGTCATTTGCTGACTGTGGTTTTCAAGAAATAATCATATCAGGTGCTTCTGCTGTCCCGCCTCTTCCCAAGTAAATTGCTTTATTGCAATTACAAGTTATCTCTATGGGGGAAGAGCTTGCCTTATTATTTTGCAAACTGCAGGAAATGTGAGCTGATCTTTGCATTCCCTTCATCAAAATTAGTTTGCTGCATGTTGAATCAAAAAGATAAAAAATAATCCTCTTTGTTAGAGTAGCTTTTCGGATCACATCCGATCAGATGTTTAGCGAGGTCATCTCGGGAGACAATTAAAAGGGAGGTTATGCTCATAGCTGGGTTGTTCCCTCATGCACATTTGTGCTTAAATGGGAGTAATTCTCCGGGTTCAAGTGGCAGGCAGTGAGGAACATCCCAAGAATCCGCCACAGCTGAGAGCACCAGGTAGGAAGCACGTTTGCATGAATTATCCTCTGCCAGGCAGTTTTGCTTCATCCAGACATGGTGCTGATGGATTCTTTTGCTTGACTGCAGCAGGTGGCTGACCTTTCCCCTGACTAGGTTGGCCACTGCAGAGCCAACATCTGTGGCTTTCTGTGCTGGTACGCATCTGAAAGCCACGGACATTGGTTCATAGATGGGTAAAATGGTCTTTTGGTTTTGAAGGGTTGCTGCTTTTTAAACACCACACACATGCACACACATGTGGCTTGAGGGTGTTCTATTCCCATCACTACATGACGGGATTGTGTTGGCCCGGAAGAGGTTTTAATGCGCCGCAAATCTGACTTGCTTATTGTAGGACAGCCCTGTCAAAATGATCAAACATGAGCATGCAATAAAAAGCTAGCCACCAATAAATCTGGAACAAGAAGGAAAATGTTTAACTGTTTGTTCTCTTTTTACAAAGACCTGCATTTAGAAGAGGACTAAAATGTGTCTGTTGAAGTACTTATCAGATATACAATCATGACTGAATGGAAGCAAATCTAATATATCTAAGATAATAGTGTATTAAAGAAATAGAGAACGCCATCTTAGTTTACCCTACCAGGTTACATCTTAGATGTCTTTCAGCGGTGCTAAAGTAACACAGTGAATCTGAAAGGCCCGAGTTTATACTTTGGTTATGTTGGTGTATGTCTAGAGTAATTCAGTTGGCTTCATTCTGGATTTCCACCGGCATAACTAAGAGAAAACTTTAATCCTCTGTAACTGCTCATACACTTTTTGATCATTTAATGACAGCCTGGTACTCTGGTAGAATGGAATTCTTTTGCTGTCATTGCTTTTTTAAAACTTTTCTAATGTAAATGAGAAGAGTATTTTTGAATATGTGGTTGTGTTGTGAGGTATATAAAAAATGTGTGGCCATGTACTTCATACACTTTTCCTTTGTCCTTGGCAGGCTTCAATGGCTGATAATAGTATACCTCTATACACTACTGCTTCCATGGGAAATCCCACTCTGGGCAATTTAGCCAATGCTATGAGGGAAGATCTTAATGGTGCAATGGAGCATACGAACAGTAATGGGAGTGACAGTAGTCCAGGACGTTCCCCTATGCAAGCAATGTAAGTACAGAATAAGTGTGTGTGTGTTTAGGGGTCTCCTACAATGTAACTGTGATAGTCTTCAGTGATTGTGTCTGAAGTTCCACCAAGTCTGAGCTTCTGAAAATATTTAAGTCGATTAGAACATAAAAGGGCCGTTTACCAACATCCACATAAAGCCAATCAACTCAATCCAGTCTGACAAGTTCACACAGCTGTAAAATTGTGAACTCATTTGCCATTCTCTTCGGTCAGTCCCAGACAACAGAGCTACAAAAACACGCTTAGGCAACTGTATGAAAAGTTTTTGTTTCAGTCTACTTCAGACTATCCAGTAAACATGCTTGGCAGGGCTTACCTGGGGGAATGAGCTTGTTTAGCTGGTTTAGCTAGGCTTTAATGAAGGCACATGTGAAGGTATGCATGATTTCCAGATTGCTCTTAAAATATCAAAAGGAAAATTAATAAGGAGCATTATATCAATAGAGAGCAATAGAACAAGTGCCTGTGTAACCACATCAAGTAAGAGGAGATTGCTGTCCATGCTAAATGCAAATGACACTGGAGCAAAATAGGGGTGTTAATGTATAGACGTTTAAATGATTAACTGATAAATCTGGGCTTATTGTTTAATCCAAACAACTACACGTACTCCCCACCCTTTGCTGCTTCTGTATCAGAGATAGCAGCACGGGGGAGAGGGGCAGGGGCAGGCTGGAGCCAGTGCTCGTGGGAAGCTGCCTTAAAAGCCAGCTCCCCGTGAACACCAGATCCTGTGTATCTGCATGCTTCCCACCCCTGCACTGCTGCCTCTGATAGGCATCAGGCAGGAGCAGTAGGCAGTCGCTGCTACGCAGAGAGCAGCATGGTGTAGCGGGGAGCTCCCCAGGACTGGGGCTGGGAGCACACTGGCTGCCTTCCCTGTCCCATCCCCAGGGCCTATCGGATAATCATGTGCATTTAAACAATTGTTAAATTAAACAATATCTAACATCCCGAGAGCAAAGCGCTAGTACAGAAAGAGGTAAGCCAGAAACGGTGTGCTGCCCCTGTGGGGGAGGGGGGGTGTTCAGTATTTGAGTGACTGAGTGAGTTTGTAAAGCTGTAAATTCTCCTCTATCCCCCCAAATTATATACTAGAAAATTGGCAGCTGGAAAGGAAAGCAGAGTTTATAAGGCATACAGTTCTCAAATTTTAAAAAAATTGTTTATTTGGAGCAAGTGACTACTTCTGGGGGGTAAATATGGGTAAGAGCGCAGTCCATTTTATCTGGCTGTTCATTAAAATATACTATAAAATCATTGGCCGAGTTATCGAAGTTCATGTTAAAAAAAAAATCTGAAACCCAAGTAACTTGTAACCTTTTTCTTTGAAGTAATTTGAATACAGGCTTTACAAAAGTAGGTCTAAATCAAAAGTAGAAAAACATTAACCTAATACCATCCTAGTAATTAGTTGTGAAACTAATTAGCATTTAATGGCAAAAAAAGTTTCCCACCTGCATAATATGTTGTGAGGGCGGGGGGAAAGGGACAAGAATCTAAAGCTCTGTATACTTTGATATTCTAGCATTTTAAATCAGTGTACAATGTGCTTTGAAAAATATCTTTAAAGATGGCAACATTCATTTTTAATTCATAATTAATTTGAACATTGTCTTTTACCATTTACTTCAAAACATTTGAATAATGAGTTTAGCTTTTGCAGTGATTGTTTGTGCAGTATTAATTATCTTTCCCAAAGTAGCATTACGTGACACACTGTTAGTACTATCACAAATGGATTCCTCTTCAGGCAGTTTTAGTCACAATTGGTTATGCTCTACCCATGCCCATGCACGGTTTTAGGGGAAAAGGAATAGAAGGAGATGGATTTTTTTCCCACAAGAATAAGGCCCTCTCCTGGGCTAACATACAGAAATGAAGGTTTATAAATTTCCTTTCATCCAGGTATTTTTTTTTTGTTAAGATTCAGGACTCGTACAGTTCGTGTACTTCTCATTTCACCTAAGATTTCATTGTTTTTGAAGGGAGTATGTGGTGGGAAAAATAACAAGAGAAAAACAGAGAAGCACATTTCGTGGAACCATATACGTAGCTGTGCCTTTGCTGCATTTAGTACCCATTGTTTAGGGCTTACATACTGTGGCGAGAGGCACAGTCACCTCAGACACGAGAGAGGGGGAGAGTGTGTCTCATGTCATCATTCACAGTGTCTTGGTGTGATGTACTCGTCCCTCTCCCGGGGGAAGCTGTTGCGTCCTTGAGGTTCTTGGACCTGTGGAACCATATACGTAGCTGTGCCTTTGCTGCATTTAGTACCCATTGTTTAGGGCTTACATACTGTGGCGAGAGGCACAGTCACCTCAGACACGAGAGAGGGGGAGAGTGTGTCTCATGTCATCATTCACAGTGTCTTGGTGTGATGTACTCGTCCCTCTCCCGGGGGAAGCTGTTGCGTCCTTGAGGTTCTTGGACCTACACCCACCCCTGCCCCCTCTAGCTGAGGCGGTGGACCCGTGCCGCCTGCCAGCCATAGTCTTTAACAAACACCCCTCTCGCTGGGGCAGAGCGGCCTACGGGCCAAAGTCAGTAACAACAGCCCCTCACACTGGGGTAGTGCGGTCTGGTAGCCAGAGTCTTTAGCAAAAGCCCCTCCTACTGGAGCAGAGAGGCCTAGCAGCTGGAGTCCTTAGCCATGGGTGCAGGCCCCACAGCTGGGGATTGAGGAACAGGTGGGGGGGGTCAGGCCCTCCGTATTCCATCGGGTCCCATCCCAGGGTCCTGTTAGAAGTAGCATGGTTCTCTGCTGACTCAGTGGGGAATCCCACCGTAACATGCTGAGCCCCTCAGGATACAGTCTCCTACCTTGGGCTACTTTCTACCAGTTTTCACCAGCCTCCTTCCAGGGTCCTTCCTCCAGAGTCCAGGTGGGATTCCTTCAACCAGGTGAGCCTAGCTTCCCCAGTGCAGTGGAAGTCATTCTTCCGCTATACTCTACGCTGGTTAGGCGTCAGTTGGAGTATTGTGTCCAGTTCTGGGCACCGCATCTCAAGAAGGCTGTGGAGAAATTGGAGGGTCCAGAGAAGAGCAACAAGAATGATGAAAGGTCTAGAGAACTTGACCTGTGAAGGAAGGCTGAGAGAATTGGGTTTGTTTAGTTTAGAAAAGAGAAGATCGAGGGGGGACATGATAGCAGTTTTCAGGGATCTAAAAGGATGTCATAAGGAGGAGGGAGAAAACTTGTTCATCTTGGCCTCTGAGGACAGAACAAGAAGCAATGGGCTTAAACTGCAGCAAAGAAGGTTTAGGTTGGACATTAGGAAAAAGTTCCTAACTGTCAGGGTGGTCAAACACTGGAATAAATTGCCCAGGGAGGTTGTGCAATCTCCATCTCTGGAGATATTTAAGAATAGGTTAGATAAATGTCTATCGGGGATGGTCTAGACAGTATTTGGTCCTGCCATGAGGGCAGGGGACTGGACTCGATGACCCCTCGAGGTCCCTTCCAGTCCTAGTATTCTATGATCAAGATTCTCGGCTGTCTCTCTGGTGTCTCTCTGGCTAGTACCCAGGTCTGGTCCCACTGGCAGTTCACCTCCCAGGAGCTTGGGCAGTGCCTCTCTCCTCCTCAGCAGCCAGCCCAGACTGAGCCCCTCTCTCCAGGCCTTTATACCTGGGCTGCAGTCTGAGCATGCCCAGCAGGGCTGTGGGGGCGGGACTCCTTCAACCAGGTGAGCCTAGCTTCCCTAGTGCAGGGCTAGTACACCCCATCAACCAGAACCCCAAAATCCCTTTTTGAGTTGTAGCATGACATAGTTTGTTTCTTGAATGATTCCATATTCTCAGATTGATAAGTGTGTGTTCTGTACTGAGTATTTCCTTTGGTTTAAGTAAAAATGCAGCCAGGTGTATGCCCTGATAGCCGCTTATGGGCTTTCCCATTAAACACGTGTTTTGAAATACTTTGAAAGGCCACGGAGCAGGATGCTGTTCAAACATCACAGGGTTTACACTGTTTGCTAAATATAATTACGTGCCAACATCAGATTTCCAGCGCAGACTATCAGAGTCATAGATGGTTATTCTTTGCAATATCTTATTTCCATTAAGTTCACTTTATAATGACATTCTCTATTCTTTTGCAAAACACACTTCTCTGCCATAATGCAAATTGTTTTTTAACAGTTCCAGTATATTGGAATAAATCAAGCCTTAAACTTTATCATACGGTTTAGGAGACCTTGTTAACATGACAACTAAGCAAGTACAACACTTTAGCTGAAGTCTCATTACCATTCATTTCTTTCCTTTTTATGACACATTGAACTACTGCTACCTCCCCCTCCCCCCTTTTTGAAACACTAGAAAGTAGTCACATAATTACAGCTTGGGGACATAACACTTTCATCCTGATATGCTCCAAAGGTAGCCACAAAGCAAACTATTGCATGCTGTGTGCGCCACCAGAACACAGTGGCTTTAAACAACAGTCAGCTTTATTAAAAACGCCTCTGTTCCCAGAGTGGACAAACAAAAGAATTACTCAGATGTGAAAAGGAGGGAAATCTGTGTTCAGCAAGGTTATTTATTGTTAACCCCTTCTGAAGCCTTAGACGTTTCACTTAAAATGTGTTAGAATTCTGCTCATAAACAAGAAAGACTAAATAGAGATTCCAACTGGTTTGGCAAATTATAAAAATCTCCCTCTGCCTCTGAACATTACATTCTTTAAACTGAACATTGAGATAGTGTTGAGGTGTTTGAAGAGTGTCTGAATTAGAGGGTTTCCATTTTCCCTTGCCATTTTGGTGTTGCAATGAAAACATCACACAAGGGGCTGGATTGTGGTTTTGTTTTTGTTTTTCCAAACACAGTTTCTGCTTGAAATTTGAGTAGTTCAGAGAAACATCCTCATTTGAAGAGATGATTGCTTCAGACTGGAGTCTCACTGCTTTTCACATTTGCCCAACATTTCAGCAGCCTGGGGGAAAGAGAGGTGTAGAGGCATATATGAGAGC